CAAAAGAGTTTTCATCATTACAAAAGAGATCAATCTACAAATACGGTTTGGCTCTTTCACTTAGTTCCATGACCTCAGTCATGATCTCAGCAATTTTCTCTCCATATTCGGAAGATAAACTGGTGCGAAGTAGGATGACTTCAGCTCTGTTGGCGAGCTCTTGTGTGTAGTGAGCCACCTCGCTCATTTGTGCTATTGCTTCACCCATCATGCGCTCCCGTTCCTCAACCAACATCCGGTGGTGCTCATACGTATCCTTCCACCCATCATTGATACGAGTGATTTCTCTTTCCAGGTTGGTGATGTATACTCGACAGCGCTGAAGCTCACTCTCTAGTCTTCTGACTTGTTCTCGTAAAAGTTTATTCTCCTCACGAGAAAGCCTTAAGTCCATCGACCCGGGTGATACTTGAACTTGAAGTAAGGACTCCTCGAGGTGCGTAATATGATCTTTAAGTTCACTATTCATATCCCGAGACCGATTCAATTCTCCTTCAAAACTGGTTTGTAGATCTTCCATTTCCTTGGTTAATTGTTCCACTCGCCTGTTCTTTGTTTGGAATCTTTGCAACCATGACCCAATTTTGGCCTGCTTTCTTTCGAGAATTTGGTTCCACCCCTGTCTTTCAGTCCATACTTCCTCTTTTTTTTTGCTCTCTTGCTTTCTTTAATTCTTGGATCCTCTGATCTCTAGCCTCGAGTTCTTCCAGCATACTATTCATTTCAGTTTCCAAACCACGAACTCGATGTTTTTCTGCTTCCCACTCCTTCAAGCTAGTTTCTTTCTAAGCTCTACAACTTTCAATCTTAAGTTGCTTAGTCGCTTCTCTTTTTTCAGTTTTGTATTTGTCCCGTAATTTCTTTTCGGCTTCAATTATCCTAAGTTGGCGTTTGTTCTCGGCCTCTAGACTTTGAACACGTCGCTTCTCAATTGCCAACTCTTTAGCCCACTGTTGTGATGTCTTGCTAGATCCAGATATTTTCTTTTCCTTTTGTAAGTTGCGATAATCTCTTTTCAGGTCAGCCAGTTTAAGATTAACTTTCTCTTTATCTTTCTTCAACAACTCACATTGTTTGGCATGAAGACCTCTATCAAGATCTAACATGAAATTCTCTTGTTTGAACTCTTCCATTGCCCTGACCCAATTCTTCTTTTTAGCTTCAAATTCAGCAGTGAGAATCTCTGATTGTGAGGGTACCACCTTGATATGTTCTTCCCAAGGAACAACTTCTCCTTGATCTGAAAAAAGGGACATTTTCGTTTCTTCTTGCAAACCTCCAAGCCTCATAGTCTGGAGTGTACATAACATCCCCGGCCACAACTTTTGTTCGAAAGGTTCTTTTCCAGGCAAGCGATAAATCACGTGCTCTCTTCTTGTAGTGGTCTCCATGGTATGTGATCTCAGACTTATTTAAACCACTCGTAACTGGGACAAATTGGCGTACCCTATACTGTCTGAGAACCATCAACGGGGCATAGTTGACTCCTCCCCATAATCCTAGCAACGGAACGTGGTCAAGATCTCCACATCTGAATAAAATGCTAGTATATCCTAGCCAAGGAACACACCAAGCGATGTCTCGATCTTGTAGATTACTGAAAGCTGATATCCATCTTCTCCTTGGTAACCCCTCTGGCCACTCCTTGCTAAGAAATTCTTTCAAAGGCGAATACATGGTGGAGAAACGGTGATAAGATATTTTCTCTTCCTTCCAGAAGTGGCTACGAATCCAGACAGTGAGTAGCTGGGCACATCCTATAAATCGACCCCCCTCCAGTCTACGATAATTGTTTAAAGATCGGAAGGTCTCTGCCAAAATAGCTGGTGCCGGATTTATACCTTTCTCCAATCTGTCAAAGAAATATGTAACAGCAGCCTCCACGTGGAACAAGGTCTTCGGGAATATCACTAGACCATATACAGCTAGAGCAAACGTGTCTAATCTCTTATCTTCATCCATGTGCTCGAGTATCACCTTCTTGAGACAATGCCACGGAAAACATTCACTTTCTACTTTCTGTTGGATGTGCTCTACTATCCAATTTTCGCATCTACCAGTAATCTTTACAAGTTTACTTTTAAAGGATTGGACTTTTGGAGGTCTAGAATAAATCCTATCCACCTGGAGGCTCTCGAAGTTAAATAGAGTTGTATACTCTTCTATTGTCAGCGTCAAATCTTGTCTGTTGAAAGTGAAGCAGCTGCATGCAAGGTTCCAGAATCGGACCAGAGCTTTAAGTAACGGTTCATTTATCTTTACATAGAGTAGATAGGCTATGTCACCATATTTCTTGTGGAACTTCTCTTTGGTAGCTACTTTCCAACTCTCCCAAATCTCTATCAGTTCTTGTAGATCATTCTGCTTGAGAGTGACATTTACATCTGTGGACATATGTGATACATAATCTCCAGGCAAACTGTCTCCTTTCGCCCTTTGTGTTTCTTCATACCAAACTCGGACAACCGAATTGAGTTCTTCCTTGTTATGAAAACTCTTTTCCATTTTAATGGTCGCTCTTCTACTATGATGATTACTTGGTTAATCAACACCTTTCTTTTATTTATGATGATCATGCAAAAAACAAAAATGCCAAATAATAAACCATTAAACACAAAAATGTGTCAGTATAAAAGAATTCAAATATCAAACAAATATTATTGAAAGGTAATTGCAACACCTACCCACATGCTCTTCTAGTTCACATGCTTTATTCAGAAAATAAAATATTAAAAGTAAAGTAAAAAAGAAGGTTTAGCGTCGTTTGTCCTTTGCGTATACTTATTTTGGGTACCTACTGATAGACAGAGGTTCTGAATGAATTTTATCGGGATGAGTTCGTAGGGCTCACTATATGCATGGTTTCGGCACTATGAGAAAAAAGTACTCGAATTGTTCTTGTTGGTGCCTCCTTAGGCTGCCAAACCCTCAATCCTGACCCATTACAGGCTCAAGCGGATCGAGTTCAATTCGAGAGGATACATTCCCTTATGTCCATGCGGAGAAACATTTTATCTCACGTAAACATAAGATATATGAACCCCAAAGGATACTTGCTAAAACCCGTGCGGAGAAACAAATTATCTCACGTAGGCTAAGCTTTCACCTCAACTTAAAAGGGACAAAGCTCGTAAGTGAGCTTATGGTATGTAAATGCACGTGTCGTGTGTGAAGAGAAACTCACAAACCTTTAAAATATGACCAAAAACAATTCTTTCACAAGTCCCAAAAAAAACTGTTCAAATCTGAAGATCACTTAAAATCAAAAATCAATTAGTTAAAGATAAAAATAATGCATGTAATGTTGAAATTCAAAATAAATAAAAAGGATCATAAATCAAATACAATTTAAGTTTGTAATTCCCAAAAATAAAATCAACGTATAATCGTTTATGGCTTGACTCTCTAACTGTCCCCAGCGGAGTCGCCAAGCTGTCATAACGTTTTCTGTGTGGATCCGTTAGACTTTAAAAAAATTTAGTTTTGGGGAAAAACGATGAAATTCGATTTTGAAAATAATTTGATTTTGGAGTCGCCACCAACCTTTAAGTTAGGTAGATTGGAAACCTTAAATGACAAAAATGGTCCGCGTTTTACCAAATATTCATTTTTAAAAGTTCGGGAGTCGGTTACGTATGGGGAAGGGTGAACACCTCCACAACGCCCAAATTTTGGTACCTAAATGATTATATGTTGTTTAAATATTGGGAATTACAAACTTCGAAAATATATTTAAATCATGATCATTTTATTTATTCTAATTTATTTAAATAAATGTCAATTTCAAAAATGAATTAAATAAGAAATACGGTTGATCAAAAGATTAAATAGCTCAGAATATATTTTATAGAATAAAAATATCATAATTATTTTCATAAGAGAAAATGTGTCATTTTGTACGAACAATCCTTGAAAATGTGCTTCCTTTATAGTTAGGATACTTTTTCATAGATTCCCCTCACAAAAGATCTTATTTCATAATTTTTTAAAAATAAAATATAAGTTAATATATTTAAAAGTAAATACAGAAAAATTTAAAAAAAATTGGAAAATGACTGAAATAAAATATTAAAAAAAATAAAGTACTTAAAAATTTACGAATGATGAAAAATAAATAAAGGAAATAAATCGCATTATATTTAAATGTTAGAGTGTTAATAAGTTAGTGACAAAAATAAAAAGAAAAGAAAGTAAAATACCCAAAATCAGAAATAAATAAAAAAAGAAAATATAGCATATTTAGTGATCAAATTAAAAATAACAAAACTAAAGTGCCAAAAATTAAATAAATAAAATAAAGAGATCCGGGGACTAAAATGTGAGACACGGCAATGTATTAAGGATTTAACGTAATTTTACACAAGTACTTTAGTTACCAGTTTATAAAAACGCTTAAAAGTACAGGAGCCTAAGCGTGATTTTACGCACAAATTTAGAAACATGGCAGAAATTTAAAGGGTCTCCACGTGATTTGTCCATATTTTCTCCTATATATATATTACTTTTAGCTAATGATTGGTAAAAACCTAACCATCTTTTTTCTTCCTCTCTACCTCTCTCGCAGACTCCCTCTTCAACCTTTTTCTTATTCTTTTTTTTATTTTTTAGAAAGCCATGAAATTTATGTAAACAAGCAGAATCAAACTATAAACTACATTAGGTTTTCTAATTACATCTCAAGAATTTAACAAGATAAACCAAAAATAAGAAAGAAGAAAAAAAATGAGAATACCTCTTTAATTTCCTTTGAAGATTTCAGTTCTATTTACTGTGTTTTATCGCTAAAAAAATCTGTCCTTTTTACATAGAATTCGATTGGGTTTTATACCCATTACAAAATCATATAATAATAATTTCCTGATGGTGGAGTGATGGGTGAAGCATAGGCAGCAACATGAGTGAGGTATGGGCTGGCATTTGGTGGTGTGCAGCCACATGTGCTGGTGCTGGTAAGTGGAGCATGTGCTGGTGCTGGTGGAAAGAAAATGGTGTTCACACAAGCAAGAGCATTCAAATAGAAGCTTTTCATGTTTTCAAGGTGCCATGTTAAAATTATTCTCCTCTGATGTTCGAACTCGATAATTTGATTCGCTAAATTGCACACAATATCCTCTTCTTACTTGCATTTTTTGGCCTATGTTTCGACAGTTGTTTGCTGCAAAACAGAATAAGCCTCCTGACATCGTTAGCATACTTGTTGCAAATAAAAGCAAGCTTATACGATTGTTTGAGGATTTGAAGACTAATAAAGGTGCGAAAAGAGAAGAAAAAACACATGGTGACATTATTTTTCCTTGAAAATGTGTAGGTTTAGCACATCATTCATAGTTCCCTGTTTGATGTCATGCAGAGGATGAACAGTTTGAGGCAGATAAGGCTCAGGTCGTCAAAGAAATCGCCGCCCTTGAGCTTAAAGATTGCCCATAGTGAACTCTAGTCTATTGCAATCTCTCTCTTTTCCTCTTATTTTTCTCCTGTTTGAATAACTAACACAAATTGACTTCATCATATAGTGATTTGTCGTCCTTTCGGAAGGGCGTGTGATTTGTTAAAAGGAAAAAGAAAATAAACGAAAGGGTTCTTCATTTGTGATCTCTTTCCTTAGAATCTTGGTTGATCTTATGTAGTTTGCAATGTTTCGGCTGAATTCTGATTCCAACATAAACTTCGGAGGATGGACGGCGCTGAGATTTTGGGCAAGGGGCTGAGGATAATACAATGTTATGAGGGACGGGTGGAAATAGAATAATTTCCTGAGATTATTTATTGAGACAATTTTTTTGGATAAATTTCTCATATTATTATCCAATAAGTAGAAAACTCACTGCTACAACCAATACAGTCAAAGAAGAACAAAACAACCTCCCTAAGAGGTATTAATCCCCAAGCTATACAAAGGTTCTTGTTAATATCACTATTCTTAATGACCATCCTAAGCACCTTCACCCTAATTCCATTAATATAATTCACCATACTCTCAATATCTCTACTAATGCCCCTAAACTGCCTGTGATTTCTTTCTTCCTATATAGAATATACGTATGCACACCAAGCTACCCTAAGTATAAACACAACAAAGGATTTACCTTTGAACCTAGAAATCGCCCAATCCAACTCCTCATCCCAACTTCCTGCATTCCTACCAACCTTGCATAACCGAGTGACCACCTCCCAAACAGCTTTCAGGAAAGAGCATTCAAAGAAAATATAGTTGCGAGTCTCAACCACATCTCCACACAATCTACACTTATCATCAACCTCAATTCTCATTCGAATCAATCTATCAGCAGTTGGCAACCTATCAAGAATAGTCCTCTAAGCAATAAGAGAATGATTTGGAATGTGCATAGGATACCAGACAAGCTTTTGCCATAAAATCTTCTCTTTTCTCCCCCTGATCTCCTGCCACAACCAACAAGTATTTACTTTATCCCAATCTGTGATCCCAGAGAACAAAGGTTGAACTTCCTCATTCATTTTCATAATTTTTCACATACTCCAGCTAAAAGAGGATTTGCATTCAATTAACTAGAAATCAATACCTTTAAAAACATATGTTCTTACCCAAGCAACCCAAAGTGAACCCTCTACAACGAGTAATTCCTTCACCAGCAACAACACACAAGCTTTGTTCCAGCATTTTAAGTTTTTTAGATCCAGTCCCCCTTCAGATTTAGGAGTGCAAATACTCTTCCAACTCACTCGAGCTCCCTTAGTTGGCAGTTGGCACATCTCCACCCTTCCAGAAAAATCTAGCACCAGAAGTTTGCAATGTTGAATAAAACAACTTTAACCAATTGCAACCTGTCTGCATAACTTAACCACCTATTCGACCAAAGTCCTAAACTGCCTGTGATTTCTTTCCTCCTATATACAATATACGTATGCACACCAAGCTCTCCTAAGTATAAACACAAGAAATGATTTACCTTTGAACCGAGAAATCGCCCAATCCAACTCCTCACCCCAACTTCCTGCATTCCTACAAACGTTGCATAACCGAGTGACCACCTCCCAAATAACTTTCAAGAAAGAGCATTCAAAGAAAATATGGTTGCGAGTCTCAGCCACATCTCCACACAATCTACACTTATCATCAACCTCAATTCTCATTCGAATCAATCTATCAGCAGTTGGCAACCTATCAAGAATAGCCCTCTAAGCAATAAGAGAATGATTTGGAATGTGCATAGGATACCAGACAAGCTTTTTCCATAAAATCTTCTCTTTTCTCCCCCTGATCTCCTGCCACAGCCAACAAGTATTTACTTTATCCCAATCCGTGATCCCAGAGAACAAAGGTTGAACTTCCTCATTCATTTTCATAATTTTTCGCATACTCCAGCTAAAAGAGGATTTGCATTCAATTGACTAGAAATCAATACCTTTAAAAACATATGTTCTTACCCAAGCAACCCAAAGTGAACCCTCTACAACGAGTAATTCCTTCACCAGCAACAACACACAAGATTTGTTCCCGCATTTTAAGTTTTTTAGACCCAGTCCCCCTTCAGATTTAGGAGTACAAATACTCTTCCAACTCACTCGAGCTCCCTTAGCTGGCAGTTGGCACATCTCCACCTTTCTAGAAAAATCTAGCACAAAGCTGGTCCACCCTTTTAATCATAGCCGTAGGCAATATTTGTTGTCTGCACCGGAAGTTTGCAATGTTGAATAAAACAACTTTAACCAATTGCAACCTGTCTGCATAACTTAACCACCTATTCGACCAAAGTCCCAACTTAATCTTAATTTTCTCCACCAGACTTGCACAATCCTTTTCTGTTAATTTCCTAGGGACAAGAGGCATCCCTAAATATCTCACAGGAAGATTACCTATTTTTGAAACCAGTGGCCTCATGCACCAAAGACCTCTTACTATCTACCATACCAGCAATAAAAATTTCAGTCTTTGAAACATTAAGCCTTAATTAAGACAGCTCATAAAACTTTTCCAAGATACATTTCACACCTATAATAGAATCCAGAGAACCCTTGTAAAAAATCAATAGATCATCTGCAAAACACAAGTGGGTTAACTTCACTTTTTTACACTTAGGGTGAACCTGGAAAATCTTTCCAGAAGAAGCAATATCTAACATTTTGGAGAGGACATTCATAGCAATTACAAACATGTAAGGGGAGAGAGGATCCCCCTGCCTGACCCCTCTTCTACCTCTGAAAAAGCCAACTAGGTTACCATTTAACACAATGGAAAATCTAGAATTCATAACACAAGCCTTTATCCAATTCCTTAATTGCTCAGGCAATCCTAGTCCATTCAAAACAACAAGCAAAAAAATTCAGTTTAAAGAATCAAAGGTTTTCTATAGATCAACTTTAATAGCACATCTAGGAGATATAGAACCCCTACCATACCCTCTAATAATTTCTTGTGCCAAGAGAGTATCACATTCAATGTTTTTTCCCTTTACAAAAGCTTATTGATTTGGGGATATCATCTTAGGAAGTACTTTACCAGTTTACCCGCTAAAATCTTAGTAATTGTCTTGTAAAAGACAAAGCAACATGATATAGGCTTGAAATCCATAGCCTTGCAAGAATTAGGCTGCTTAGGAACTAAAGCAACTGCAGTAGAATTAAAAACAGACAACATTTCAGAAGAATCAAAGAAGTATTTAACAGCAGCTAAAAAATCTGCTCCAACAATATCCCATGTAGATTGAAAGAAACCAGATGTATAACCATCAGGGCCAGGGGCTTTTATCTCTGCCTTGATTCCAAATGGCAGGTTTAATTTCATCATTTGTAATAGCTCTAATCAAATTAGCATTAACACCTTCAGGAAAAGAATATCCCAGCAAATTCCTCAAGAACTCCTCAGTACATCCCTGCACATTCTCATTAACAGTTCCAATCTGCTTTGTGAAAAAGCTCACCAACTCCTCAGACATAGAATCAAAGGTTTCCAATTTATTTCCCCTCTCATCAATCAATATTCTAATAGTATTTTTCTTCCCTTTAACTAAAACTTGAGAATAAAAAAAAATTAGTACATTGATCACCATCTTGCAGCCAATCCACTTTTTCTTTTTGCTGATAAAACATCCTCTCTGCCTTTTCTAACTCAATGAGCTCTAGCTGCAACTTCTTTTCAACAACCACATCCCTTAAATCATCTCCAGTCAGAGTCACAACTTGTTGCCTTTCTAGTTGTTCTCTCTTTTCAGCAACTTTCTCATAAATATTAGAATAACATCTTCTATTTAAAGCTTTCAACACGGGTTTTAACCTTTTCAATTTACAAAACAAAGCCTGCATAGGGTTTCCCTGCACATACCTCCTTAAAATCAGGATGCAAAGCCCAAAAGTTGAAGTACTTAAAAGTTTCAACCTTGAGACAAGACACTCGTGAGAATACCAAGAAACTGCTATGCAGTGGTCAGATACACCAGGAGCTTGAAACTACACATGAGAATTTGAAAGTACCTCACACCAATGATCATTCACTATCACTCTATCCAATTTCCTTGCTAGGAATCCCTCCTCATGATTATTTGACCAAGTATAAACATGTCCAAAAAATGGATGGTCCACTAATCTCATATTTCTCATACAGCTCTGCAAATCTTCCATCTCATAAGTAATATGCCCATCCTCAGAGTTAGAGCTTTCAACAACATCAATAGTAATATTAAAGTCCCCCCAACAAGCCAAGCACTACTGTCAACCAAAGAACTAACATCAGAAAGCTGATTCCAAAGCTCCCTTCTTATAAAACCACTATTGCTACCATGCACAACATAAATAATAACATTTCTACCACCTCAATTGCCCTGAACAGTAATAGAATGATCAACCAATTACATCACAGAAAACTGCAATTCCTTCTTCCACAAAATCCAATTCCTGTCATTTTCCATACAACTATAATTCCAACATAATTCCATTCATTCACAAATTGAGTAACAATATTCTGGGCCTTATGTTCTCTAACTCTAGTTTCAAACAGACAAAGGACCTCAACATGCAACTTCTCTACACAAATCATTATACTTTTTTTGTTTTTTTGGGATGATTAAATCCCCTAACATTCCAAAACTTCAACCAACAACTATTGTTTTAATTCCTCTAATATTTATTGAGACAATGGATTCTTTTATTCATTTTTCAAAATTTTCAAATTAACTTTTGGTTAGAGTCACGTGTTCCGAATTTGATCTATGCTTTACATTTAAATTTTTATTTCATGCTTTAGTCTAATAGTTAGTTTGGCATAAAAATATGATTGATACTGATATGAGCATAAAATGGGTAAAGCAGGTTATTTTGGATTAAAAAAATTTGAATTTCTTTTAGGTTGAAATATCTGACTTGTAATTAATTTTTAAATTAGATTCCAAATATTTTCTAATCGGATGTCTCTTATGAATCTAAAAACACATAATCTTAGAGAATGAAAGATAAACAAATATATTTTTTTGGTTACAAAAAAATTAGGTTAGGGGTGACTTTCCAGTCTAGGGTCAGAACATATTTAAGACCCAATTGAGATTTACATGATAATTTACAGATTGTCTACTAAGAGTGACGGTAGTAAGATTCGAACTTGATCTTACAAACGTAAATTCCTAAATCTT